AACAAATCTTGAAATTGTACAATACAGTCCAATTTTTTTCACCATAATCATCATCATTATCAGTAATAGCGGTCATTTTTATTATTATTATTTTTGTTTTTTCGGAAAACATTACTGATGCAAATTATCATCATCATCATCATCATCAAAATCGGTTTTTATTCAACATCCGACAGGCCAAAGAATATTATACAACAACAACAACAACAATAATAGTAAGCATTTAGCATCGGCAATGATCATCATGATTGAAAAAAAATGGCCAGATCACCACAAAAAAAAACTCAAGACACACACACACACACACGCATATTTCAAACTTGGTTCGTTAAGTTTTTGTTATCAAAAAAAATGTTGGCAAGAATAAGCGGAAAAAAACTTGAACAAAAACCACAACAGAATACAGTGACGCCTTGTTTGAAACAAAATCGGCACATTTTCATTTGCCAAAAAAAAGAGAGAAAAAAGTATTTTGTTTCAAACTTAAAACACACACACACACAGAAAACTTTTTTTCTCATCCAGTTTTTTTTCTAGTTTCATTTTCCGGTTCTTACATCCAAAAAAAACGTCGTTGTTGTCAATTCCAGGCCAATGGACCCAAAAACCAAAAACAAAAAAAAAAACAAACAAACAAACACACTGGACCAGAAAAAAAACTCATCATGGATGACAGCCATGAAATCTAGATATATATCCATATTAAAGTTCAAAAATAACCATGTTGAAATCATGAAAAATTTTTTCACCAAAAAAAAAAAAAAACAAAATGACCTGAACATTTTAGTTTTTAAATTTCGTTACCATTTAGATTTGTTCTTCTTCTTTTTTGGACTAGAAAAAAAAACAAAAAGCAAGAAAAAAAAAATTCAATAAGTGTCTCTTTTACTACTTTTTTTTTGGCTGTTGTTGTGAGTATTAAGATAATGATGATGATGATGATGAAATTTGAAGCACTTTATACTTGAAAAAAATAGGAAAATAATTCGTCCGACAAAAAAAAGAGTAAAGGTTTTTTTTTCACCATAAAAGAATCTCCTGTGTGATGATGATCACATCATTATCATCATGATGACAGGGAAAAAAAGAGAATTGAAAACGATAAAAGAAAATGGAAAAAAAACTTTATCTCATGGCCTTTTTTCATTCTCAAGAGAGAGAGAGAGAGAGAAAACTTTTGAAATGTTTCCATCATCATCATCATCATCAGAATTTTTTTTCTTCATATCAAAAATTCAATCGAATATACTGTAATTATGAATAATATTTATGATGATTGTTAAAAAGTTATTCGAATGAAATTTATGTTGCAACAAGAATCCAAGAATTGGAAAATGGAACCAAACCAAACCAAAAAAAAAGAAGAAAAGATTCTTTTCAGCTAAACAAATACAAAGAGCAGACGACTATTATATGGTTATTACAGGAATTTGTCCATATTGTTCCATGTATATGATGATGATATAATCGCGATATTTTCAGCGACAATTCCGGTTTTTTTTCATTCTTCTGGTATATATTTTATTACCCAGAATTTTTTTTTTATATCTCTCTGTTTTGATTTTGGTATAAATAAAATTCTGTTGACAAGATAGTAATAGTAGCAGTAGTGGTAGTGGAAACAGCAGAAGCAGCAGAAGCAGCAGCCACATTTAAAACGAATAAAAAAAAAGCAAACAGAATATAACGTCAACGATTGTCGATCCAGAACCAAGAAAAAAAAAAAAAAAAACATAAACGACGAATAAAAAGATGTTTCGTATGTCATTACTTATAGACTTAGAATTACTCAACAATAGGCTCTCTTTTTTCCTACCATGAATATACTTTGACTACAAGCATGGGGTTGATATGTCAGAATGATGATTTTTGTCGTGAACAAAAAAAAAAAAAAAAATTCTCGATTCATCCGTTCTATGAATTTCGGTTAAAAATGGGAAACAAAAAAAAAAGCAAATTCAGAATGAGAAAAATGGAAGAACAAAAAAAAATCATTCAACCATCTCATCATGTTCATCAACATTTCATTTCATTTTACCATTTTACCATGCTGACATGGATACAAATGCTTGCTATGCGAATTTTTTTTATTTGGACCACACATACACACACACACAGACAAAATTACCAAAAGTATGTCAGAGAGAAAAAAAAACCAAATACAAAATGTAAAGATTGAAGTGAAAACAAAAACAAGAAATATAGATAAACAAAATGACCAGAATTATACAGAATATAACATTTCAATGGTTGTGCTAATAATTTGTCGCTAGGCCGAATAACGAATAATAACGAAAAAAAAACAAGAATGACACACACACACACACAATAGTAATAAAAAGCCATAATAGATCCATAGTCAAAATGAAAAAAAAACCGATCGATATCAGTCATTCATTCATTCATTCAGTTAGCCAATGATTCGAAAATTTTATTTTGTTTCATTTCTCTATGATGATTGTCTTGGTTTTTGGGTAAATACAGAATTCAGCACTCTCTCTCTCGATTCTGTCGATATTCTGTTGTAATTGTAGTTTTTTTTATTATTATCGTTTTCGTTTTTTGTCAATGTTTCTATTCTATGTTGTCCAGCATCCATTATCATCGTTTAAAAACAAAGACAAAAAATAGTAGGAACATATAGAATCAAGAGAATTGGGATGTCCAAGATATTGAATTGTCATCGTTGTTGTTGTCGTCGTGTACAATCTAATTTCGTTTTCTACCGTCGATAATGATAATAATAATAATGATGACAACAACAACAACAACAGTAACGAATAAAGAATAAAGAATTTGGACCGACAGAAAAAAAAGTGCAGCAGTTCTTTTTTTTTTGTTCAACAACGATAGAAATGAATTAAATTATTGACTACTGATGTGCATGTTGAGTCAAGCAACCATATCGCCCTGTATATTTTCATCATCATCATCATCATCATCATCATCGACATTTTCAATTGTTAAATATAAAAAACATGGACAGAACACAAGAATATCTACAGAAGAATAAAATAAAAAAAGTTTGAACCTAAATTTGATTGTGAATCTCAAAATAATAATGATGATGATCAAAAAAACAAAAAACAAACAAACAAGCATGAAAAAAAATCAAGCCAATTTCATTTGCAACAAACAAGAAAAAAAATAACAGAAAAAAATGTATGTAATTAACTTACTACCGCTGGTGATGATGATGATGATGATGATGCCCGCCTCTTATTTGCTTCATTGATAATGATTCCAATTTTTTGTTGTTGTTGTTGTTGGAATTTTTCTATTTCTGTTTTCTACACACACACAGTGTGTGTGTGTTAATAATCATTCTGAATTCAAGAAATATTTGCCACTAATAATAATGATAATAATTATGAAACTTTATCCATTCATTCATTCATTCCATAGAATTCCAATATATAGAATATATTCTGAATTGAAAGAATTCTGAATGAAATGAAACATCATCATCATCATCATCATTATGCCATCATCATCATATGATGACATTAATGATGATGATGATGATAATGAAAAGAAAAATGTGTGAAATGAAAAATTTTTGCCCATTGTGTTTTGTTTTTTTTTTTGTTTTGTTTTTGGTACGTAAAAAATGTAAATTTTGAACCAAAAATAAAAATAAAAATAAACCTACACACACATGCATGCATATAGTAAAAATTCTGATATCTTTTGTTCATCATCATCATCATCATCGTTTACTGTCATCGTTTTATTTATTTTTATTTTTGTTTTGTTTAGAACATAGAAAAACATTAAGAATTGATTTATGATAAGCAAACACGATATTTCACTATTCATGAAAAAATTCTGAACGTTTTTTTTTGGATAAAAACAAAAGAAAAACATTGCCATGTTCTTATGGATTCACAAGCATCTATTAAAGAGAGAAAAAAAAGAAACAAAAATCAAGCCATACATACTTGGTATTTGTCTACAAGATGAAACATAATAAATCAATTGATGATGATGATTTCATTGAATATATATTGTTTGCCAATTATTGAAAGTAAGAGATGGTGAGATGAAAACTTTTTTGTAAATGTTGTTGTTGTTGTTGTTGTTTTATCAAATAATAATTATAATTATATATCTCAATCATTGTATCATTGATTATCGATAGATTCTATTATCAACTTTACTATTGGTTGGTAATTGAATATATGTCAAATATTTCGAATGAATGAATAAATGAAAATAAATGAATAATATACAGGAAAACATACCACTGTTGTGTTGTGATGAACTAATAGATGAATCTTTTGGTGATCGATACACGTATATTACTCAGCCTGTAGATAATATAGGATGGTATGTACATTTAAATTAGTTCAAAATCAATGTTTTCTTCCAATGGTTTCATTGATAAACAAAAATCGATAATGAACAAACAAACAATCAAAAAAAACATCAAAAATCGATCCAAATCCATCATTGATTGACATACACACACACATACGCAAATCAAGCGCCATCTCTGCATTAAACGATTAAAGATTGACACATAACATGATTTGAAAATTGGCGATTTCTTTTCAATATATATTGAAAAAAAACCATCGTCCTTCATATTCTCACGTTAATGGTGTTTTCGTGACATCATTGAAATTGATGGGCCAGAATAATAAGATTATTTGAGGTGGAATGGAAAACATAAAGAAAGAATGAATGAATGAATGAATGAAAAAAAAATAAATGAAATCTTTGAAATCAAATAACCGGAAAAAAGAATTGTCGATATTTTCTGGTTTTTTTTTAAATTACAAAAATGAGATTCGACCAAACAAAACAAAATATAAAAAAAACTTTCGATTTTCGACCTGTCATTCACATATGACGTGATGTGATATTCGAACCAAATGAAATGCAAATTCCGCATTCGAATATATTCGAAATGAAAATATAATTAGCATAATAATAATGAAAAAAATCATTCAAAACAAGAATTTTTGATTAAAATATTTTTTCTTTCATTCATTTATTTATTTATGTAAAATCATTTGATTGTATGGAAAAAAAATTTAGATTTCAAAATGAAAAATCAATTATTATTATGAATCGTTGACAGCTTTGAATATTTTCTCCGCTTTTATTGCCAATTGAAGATTGCCTTTAATTTTCAATTTTCCCGACATGAATGCATTGGTCGGTTTGATTTTACCCATTGCCATCTGAATAAATGTTTCTTCATCGGTAATCATTTGTACATCACATTCATCGGGTGCCTGTTGTAATGGTTCAATTTTTAATGGCCTTGTTGAATGTGAATCAAATAAATATGTACGACCAGATACGACGAACACAAGCACGGCATTAATTTCATCTTTAATCTTATCGGTCATTTTTGATCTGGCCTGATTCAAAACTTCCATTATACGATCGGATGATGATGACGAATTATCAGTCATTGATGTTTTACCTTCTTCACTTGTACCAGCCAAACCTGCAAGACCTTCCATTAATCGTTCGGGTATGAAAAAATCACCCATCAATTGTGTACCCGGTTCGATTGCATATGGATCAAAATCGGTAATACCTTCATCGCGAAGAACTTCTTCATCAATGAAAAAATTTCCTGAACAAGATTTTGAATCTCTCGATGTTATAGCATAGGCAGCATCAGCCATAATATCAATTTTACGGCACATTTTGGCTATTTCTTGTTGTCCACCACTAAGCATACCCATAGCGGCTGTCCAGATGGCCGTACGAGGCCATAAAGCATTGACAGCGATACCTGAATCTTTGAATTCTTCGGCCATACCTAGAACACATAATGACATACCAAATTTTGCCATCGAATAGGCAACATGTGGTGCGAACCATCGTGATTTCATCTCTAATGGTGGACTTAAATTAAGAATATGTGGATTCGATGATTGTTTCAAATGTGGTATACAATATTTAGAAGCCATAAACGTTCCACGTGCATTAATCTGATTCATAAGATCATATTTTTTCATTGTCGTTTCTTCTGTACCGGTCAAACTGATTGCGCTAGCATTATTAACAAGTACATCAATTTTACCAAATTTATCGACAGCTTGATTGATAGCACGAATTACATTTTCTTCATCACGTAAATCACATTGAACAGGTAAACAATTTCCACCATTATTTTCAACTATTCAAATGAATCAAATTTAAATATATAATATTCATCTTTGAATAACCAAAAAAATACTCACTTTCTTTAGCAGCTGTAAAGATTGTACCCTCAAGTTTTGGATGTGGATCAGTAGTTTTGGCAGCGATGATAACATTACAACCATCTTTAGCCATTTTCAATGCAATAGCTTTACCGATTCCACGTGAACCACCGGTTACGAAAACCGTTTTTGCAGCGAAAGCACTATGATCAATGAAAAAAAAACAATTATCAATCAACAAATTAAATCAAATGAATCTTGAATCATATTGAAGACAAAAACGAACCCAGTATTTTTGAGCATTTTCGTGGATTCTCAATTATAATTGAAACGAAAACAAAAAAAAATGATCGAATCCAACAGTGAACAGTGACAATGACAATCATATGATCGAGTGATTTAAACTGCAGTATATACAAAAATACACGAAAACATACACCACACGCGGGTACAAATGTATACAATCGATGACGATTCACATAGTTTGTATTTAGTAAACAAAACATGAATGAATTAATAATTTAAATAAATCGGATCGGATAAAAAAATAACTTTTATTCATTTGAACTTTAAACAGATACATGACATGATAATTTGAATGACTTCATTGGAATCGTTCATTTAAACACTTCATTTTGCATTGCTTTGAACATCTTTTCAGCACGTTGTGCCAATTTTATATCACCTTTAATCTTCAATTTACCAGTCATAAAAGCCATTGTTGATTTCATTTCACCTTTGGCCAATTTCATGAAAACTTTATCCTCAGCAATAAAGGTGACATCAGATTTAGGTGGATCACCAGTACATACTTCAATTTTTAATGGCCTATCTTTGTTTGCATCGAACAGAATATTTTTACCAGATATACAGAAAACCATTGTAGCGTTAATTTCACTTTTCAATTTATCATCAACAAGAGTTTTAGCTTTTTCAAATAATTTTTCCGTTTCATTTGGTGTTGCATCGGCAAACAATCGATATTGTTGACCATTCAATAATGTATTCGAACGAATAGCCAAAATTGATGCCGAATGATTTTTAATCATCATCTTATGATGAAAACGGGCCACTGGAATCAAATTCGTTCGACATGATGACATGGTCAACATCAATGCCGATTTTCCAATAAAAGAACTAATCAATTGAATCAAATTAATGAACGAAAAAGAATGAAAAAACAAATATTTTACCTGCTTTGTTTGATGAACATTTTTTTGTTGTCGTCTGAATTCTTTACCACGATAAACAATAATGAAATGAAATATATGCTCGAAAAGAAAATACCATACACTGGCGTCTGAGAAATGTACACACAGTAAATGGACTCACACAAAACACACACCATTCACTGGGTACAAATTTTGCTCACTGCAAATAGTGTTAATGTGCAGATGTGTGATGATTATATTGTAAATGTAACTATGGCTTTTCCATCAAATATCAGAAAAAAAAGTTATCACGCCAATCAAACATCGATGAACAAGAAAAAAAATACTAAAAGATATATGGAACAAAGATCAATATCATCATTATCATTATCATTATCATTATTGTGTCTTATTTTGTTTCTACCATTGAAAATACATTGAAAATTTCAGTCTCATTTAATCAAGTGCGTCATCCGATTCAATCAATGGTAATCAATGATAATCAATAATCTGTGCGGATATTGTCAATTTATTAAATTTTTTTTTTAATTTTCAATTTAAAATTTAGATTCCAAACTTGAGAATTTTAAATTTTAATGAATGGATTTAGTGCACACACACACACACAAACAAAAAATATGATAATACTGGCATCAATTCCCTTGCCCCTGTGGTGAACCCAAACAACAGAGATAATTAAAAAGGAAAAAAAAATATGCAAACAGAATATATGAAACAGGAAAAAAAATAACCAATATTGGCAGTGTTCAATTTGGATATACAAATTAATATTTACAGCGAATACATGAATTTACCCCGAAAAAAAAATATTTACCGGAAATAAAATAATCAGAATCAGTGAATATTGTTGTTGTTGTTGTTGTTGTGATTTGAGTATACAGAATAATAATAAAAAGGGTAAAAAGCAATTTGAAAAAAATTGTCACTAAATTGTTGCAAAATAAAAAAAAAATTCATCACATATTTAAGGATCTGTTGTTTCTCGTGAAATCAAATTTTTGTTGTAAGAAATAATAATTATTGCCCATTATCATCAAGCCAAGGATAACGTTTAGGACATGGTTGACATGTCTTTAGAAATCTTGCACCAGAATTTGAACCAACATTACAAATATTTGGATGAAGACATGGTGGTGGTCGATGTGGATCACGTGCACAACCAAATAGATTAACACGATATAATTCTTTCAATGGTGTTGGATTACGTATCCATTGAATTAATTCCCATTTGGTTACGAAATAAACATCTTTATAATATGTAAGTAGATCATCGATAACACGAATAAAGCCAGTACGATGATGTTCTGAATTGAACCAAGCAGAATGATAATAAAGACCAAATGGTGCACGATTTGAATTATAATGACGTTTAAAATTTTTCATTATCAATTCATAAACACCATTCTCATCGGATGGATTGGAACATGCATCACCCATTGAACAACGGCCACCACGTAAATCTTGCCACATGACCAAACCGATTTCCCAAAGACCTATTGTTTTTAAAGAATCAATAAAATTAATAAAATAAAATGATCATTTTCCATCATCATACCAGGAAACGATTTTGTTGGACATGGTGCAATCATACATTCATGATTAATAGCATAATCTAATGTATATGGCCAAAATGGTGGTGAATTTTCAAACACAGGCATCGATGAATCATATGTAAAATTTTCTTCATGTAACATTTCAAATTGTTTATTACCACCGCCCTGTAAGAATGGTGCTCGCATTCCACGAATATCGGCTTTATTAACACCACCATATAGTTGAAGTATTTCACGTTGACCATTAATTTCTTTATGCCATTGTTGTCTAGTATAGCTTTCACCAAAACTATGACTGTGTCCATAAAACAATGTAAAAATCGTAAATAAATAGATAGATTACCATTAAACAACAACAAAACATACGTAATTGAATGTGATGCAATCTCATGTCCACGTGAATATAATGTTTGAACTTGTGAATAATCAGTCCATTCATGTGATACATAGAATGTTGCTTTGATTGGACAACCATTTGGATTACTACGACCAGAATTAAGTAGTTCTTCATAGATATGCCAATTAATATCATTGACAGCATCATCAAAACTAATGAGAACAAGTTGTGGTACATCTTTCACCGATAAACCACCTATGAAAATGAAAAAGATTTTTAGATGAATAATATATCACTATATTCTTGACCACGAACCTGGAATTTCAGTTCCACCACAAAAACAATCAGGCAATTTACAAAGATGTTCACTACATTTAATAGCATTGGAAAATGGTTCAGGAGTTTTAAAAACCGGTACAGGTCTTGATGGCATTTGAAGATTTTTTGCTATTCGTGTTGAATTCATTGTTGAAGTGGATTTATTACCACCACCACCGCCACTACGATGATGACTACCAAGATGTCTAGCATGTGATAAACGAGTTGCCGTTGTTGTTGTAACCGGTTGTATCAACGAATTGGTTGTTGAATTTAATCGAGTGGTCACTTGACGATATTCAGGAATTTTACTGTAAAAATAGACAGAAATTAATCAAATTTTAATCGTATTGAAAAAAATCATTCAAATCCAACCTTCTTTTTTGAACATCTGAATCATTTCGATTAGTACTAATACGTTGAAAATCATTTAGAACAATATCAGGATTTGGTATTTGAACCATAATATCGATATCATCCACATGATGATCATCAATCACTTTATTGGAATTAAATGGCCGTTCTTTAAGCGATCCATGATCCAATGATGATGATGATGATGTTTATTTGGAAGAATATTCGAATTATAAACATAAGCGGATTCTTTATCAGTTCTTGTTATTAGCTATAAATAAATTTTTTTTAAATTTTTAAAATTTTTTACAAACACAATCAACTCACCTGTCTTGGTTTATTATTATTATTATTGTCCAATATTGATTGAGCAAGAATATAATCAGGTAATAAAACTTGTCTACCACCATTACCATCATTATTATTATTCGTTGAACTATTTTTCCCATGATTAGTTTGATTCTGTGATTCAGGAATAACAATTAATTTTGTTTTATTATACACTAGAATGGCACCAGGTTCAAGTGAATCAAAATCATTTTCTATACGAGAACGATGTTGTTGTTGTTGTTGTGTTGATGTGGATGATTGATGTGGATTATTATGAGAATTATGAGCAGAAAGATGATGATTATTTTTATTATGACTAGTTTGATATTTAAATTTATTTCCATCATCTGATAATCTATTATTGTTGTTGTTGTTGTTATTATGTAACAACAATTGATGTGATGCAGTATTACGTTGATTTGATGCAGCTAAATCAGCCAATGAATCATCTGATTTATCATACAATTGATTTTTCGTTCCGGATGATGATGAAGATGATGATGATGATGATGATATTAACCGCAATAATGCTGGTGAATCACCACCACCAGCGGCCAAATGAATGGCACCATTTTCATCAACAATGGCCGTTATAATATCATCAAATTTACCATCATTATTATTATTATTATTATTATCATTATTGAATGCATTGGCTAGTTGAAGAATTTCATCAATCAACAATCGATTGTCATTATTGTTGTTGTTGTTGTTGTTGTTGTTGATTTGTTTTGCACTATTTATATGTTTATCATCTGTCATCATAATTATTTTATCATCATCATTATTATTTTGAGCATCAATATTTCCATTTTTAAAAACAAAATCCAATTCCGGTATGATTGCTTTGGATGATGTGGATGCAACAACCGAAACTGATTGAGCACGATTCTCGCCATTCACGCTTCGGCCTGAAAAAAAAATTACAAATGAAAAAACAAAACAATTCAAAAATCAAAATAAAAATCAAAGAATTTCCTGATTAATGATGAAACATACCAAGTAGATTTTGATTAATCTGTTCCACCGAAATGCGATCATTTCGAATTGATTTACCATCATCATTATCATCATTATCATGACCAGCACGATGATGATGTTGATGCTGATGATTTGATTGCGAATGATGATGACCATGGCGAGATCTTTGTAAATCTAACAAAGTAAAATTCTCGTCCAGATCATCAAGATGTTGTTGTTGATTACGTCGATGATTATTGGTTGGTTGTTGTTGTTGATGATGATTATGATGATGAATGGGTGCCGTACCATTATTATTATTAGTATCAAAATTCAATTTATTTTCATCATCATCAATATCACCATGAACGTTTGTTATATCAAGATAATTATCTTTTGAATGTAAAAGAATTGGATTATGTAGATGTTGTGAATGTTTGCCACCCAAATTAAATAACTGATGATTGTTATTGTTATTGCTTGCGTTATTACCAATAGATGACAATGATTGTTTACGACCTGAATTTTTTTGTTGCTGTTGTTTAATTAATTTATTGAAACTATCCTGTATAATATCCTGTTCATTTAATGGATGATGATGATGATGATGAACAGATAATCCAGGCTGTTTTTCCAACAAATATCTTGTTGTATGCTGATGTTGATTGAAAATGGGTGAATCATTATTATTATTATGAGATGATGATGGCGGTGTTGTCGTAAACTGATTATTATTATTATTATTAACATGATTAACAGATAAATTATTTCGAATTGAAAATAATTCATTCGATGTTTTGCCCATTATTATTTGATGCGTTGGCGTCTGTTGTTGTATGGTAGATAAACTATTATTGGCTGTCGGTAATAATAATTTTGGATATGGATGTGATTTATGATTCAATATGATAAATGGATGATGATGATGATTATGATGATTATGAACATCATCATATAGATTACCGGTACCAGATGATAATGATATCGAAGGTTTGGCAGTTGTTGTTGTTGTTGTTGTCGTCGTCGTTGTAGTAGTAGAAGTAGTCGACGTTGTTGGAATAGCTTTCGATTCAATTATCATTCCTGATCCAACTTGTTTATTATTATTATTATTATTATTATAATAATGAATATGATCCAGAATCGACAAAATCATCTTCAGTTTCATCATAATCTGAATCTAGAAAAAAAAGTGAGAGAAAGAGCATGATGATGATAATGATGATTAAAGGGATGGACAAATCTTTTGAACGATGTGAATATCAACGAACCCGTACAACCAAACAAACAAAAAATCTCATATTTTTGAATTTAATAATAAATCACCTCTCACACCTTAATTTCATTTTTATCTTTCTCTCTCTCTCTCTCATGTTCTGTGTTAATCTTTTGCCTTCAATTGATATACATAGTCCTCAACAACACAACACTAATTATTGGATCGTGTTCATCGGATATTCGTAATGGGTATTCGTATAATTTAATTTTTCTTTTCTCTCAAACGAATCGGAAATGACGAGCAAATCCAAAAAAAAAAATTCGATCCTTCTCTATTCACTTTATTTGTGGATTGTCAGCATTTTCCTTTTCATCGAAGGGCGCGTTTCTTTTATTTTTTGATTTTGGAATCTTTTCTCTCTTTAATGTTTGTTTGTTTTTTGTCAGGTTTTTTCTATCTTCTCGTTGACAGGTTAAACGAGAGGAAAAAAATTCAATATTTTTTTCTTTGGTTTGTCTATCCGAAAATCATGTCTATCCGAATTTCAGAAAAAATGTTCATGTCTATTGTCATGATTGAAAAACATAAAAAACATGAACACACAGACATTTTCGGGAAATTTTTTTTATATATTCCTTTTTCACATTGTTTTCCAGGAAGTATTATTACAATCTCATTGATGATGATGAATAGTAATATTGGTTGCTGGTATAAATTTAGCTAAACTTTTTTTTCTTTCTTTTCTTTCTTTTCTTCACTATAGTCAATCCAAAATCGATTGTATCGATGATATTGATTTCAACATACCTTCATAAGGACAGATAACATTACGTGGCCAATCACATGTTTGTAGTTCGGATGAAAATCTAAGACCACCGGTACATGATTCATGTAATGCTTCACCAAAAACGCATACAAAATATTTAGAACAATTATATTCATCAGCATAATAACCAAATTGTTCTGGACAACGAAAATTTATCGATGTTAATGGCGAAACAGATGGTGATTGTTGATCACATACGACAATTTGTGGTATTAATCCTATTTTTTTGAGCAAAACAACAACAACAACAAAAAAAAAAAAAAACGATAAAAGTGAATGAATTTTTTGTTTATAATTGTGTGTGAACACAATTGATTAGTTTCTGTGATTGTTTCGTGAGAAATAGAAAAAAAAATTATCAACGACAATTATCATCATGCCATAAAATGTGTGTGTGTGTATTGTATTGTATTGTTTTTTTTGACAAGTTCATTTTTTTCTTGTTCTTTGATTGTTTGTTGAATGGACGTTGTTCACAGTAATTTACAGTCCAAAATGAAAATTATTCCGTTTTGGACTCACAGTTATTGTTGTTGTTGTGAAAAGTGAAAGTTGAATATAAAAAAAAAATAACACGAACAATTTTGAATCGTGAACATCGTGTTTTCAAATATGTTGGAAATATGATCTATTTGGATTGGAAATTGAAATTGAAAAAAAATAGAAATATGCCACACCACCCACCCCTGGAATGTATAATGATTTTTAACAAGAAAATTGAAACAAAAACAACCTTGAACAAAAGAAAATTTCATACAACTTGATCAATTCAATTATTGATTCGATTATCAAATTGAATTTATTATTATCTTCATTACAATACATATCATCAAATTGTCATCATCAATTGTCATCATATATATTTCCTGTAACCGCCTTAAAACGAAGGTTGATATTTTATAATGTGAATGTGCCACCCCAAAACAAACCAACAAACATAGCGATTATCGATTTCCAAAACCATCAATCAACAAACAATCAATCGATTATCATCATTTGCAATTATGATGATGATGGTTATTAAATTTCTTTTTTTGTTTGCCCCATTCACATGTTCATAACAGGGGAAAATTGGTGTGTGTGTGGCTAAAGAAAAAAAAAATTTGAAAACATTGGCTAATTTGTCATTAATAAAACTAAAAAAAAAATTGTTGCGGTCAATGCGCGGTGTGGTTGCGGTTATTATTATTATTATTAAAAACGGTTATTCAATCATCATTGATTGATTGATTGATCGATCGATTTTTCACTGTCTGTTTGTTTGTTATACATTTCATCATCATACATTATTTTCTGCCTACGGGTTAAATGTATGGAACTTGAAAAAAAATCATTTCATTTCATTTGAATTTTGAATAAAATAAAATCTCAATCTCAACCTTGTTTAATGTGAATGTATGTATAACGAAATTTGATCCAAATCCATTTATTCGTTCATGCAAATTTAGTTTGCAAATTGTTTCATTTGTCTCATCATCATCATCATCCAATGGCTTAATCTCACCTCAAGTATTACCTGTTAACATTGTGTGTGTGTGTGTGTGTGTTTGCGTGTCACATTGAATTGGATTAGTAGGAAAAACAAATCCCCTGAATTTTCAAATGTGACAAGCGATTAAAATGTTTTTTTCTTGATGATAATAAATTAAAAATTTTTTTTTTTTGACAGCAAAAATTAAAGAAGATCAAGACAACCATGGCATGTACAATGTTGAAATGTTCATAGAACATTCACTTTCAATTATCAACATAAAGTGGTTCCAGCATATATCCACCAATATCCATTGGAATAAATTATCGATTACACATTATTATTGATTATCGATTATTAATTCAAAAAAATGAAAGTTTTTTTTTGTACACATTCCTTCATCATCATCATCATCAATCAGTCCATTTTCAATTATCCGGAATTTCATTTCATTTTCGTCATATACTGATTTAATTAACAATTTCAATTATGTATTCGTCTGTATGCCAGTAGTAGCAAATTGGAAAATTCATTCATTGATTTTTCACATTTAAATGGTGAAAAAATTGGCATCCTTTTTTTACTTTCAAGGACTGTGTGATTGGAATTTAGCAAAACGAAAAAAAAAATTCATAATAATAATGGTGGGAAAGTGAAAATTAAAAATCAATCAGACAATTCATATCATACGTTAATCGATGAAAATAATGATCAAAACAAAGCAACTGGATGATCTGTAGCAATGTAAAACTTACACACAAATTAATTTGTATGATGATGAAAAATGATCCTATTGTTTCGCGAGAAACAAAAATAAAAAAAAAACTAAACACGAAATCCACCATTTGCCATCATCATCATCATCATCATAATCATTATTTTCAGAAGAAGAAAAAAAAAGATGTTCCAAAAAAAAGATTGGAAACTTTTAATGGATTTTCATAATGAACAAATGAAATTCATTAATTGATTAATATCCAGGCATATCGTACATTTGTACGTTATTTTAATATGAAAAAAAATGAGAATAACACACACACACACACACACACACACACAGGTAATGAATCATATACAGGTGTGTGTGTGTTTAAAAAGCTCATATTTATCAAATAAAATCAAACGGTCATCAATTTATATATATATCGATTAAGCGTATAGACTCATTAGTAGTAATGGCGATAAATTGCATTCATATTTGATATACAAAATTGAAAAACGAAAACGCAAAGCAAAAAAAAAAATTATATCACGATCATTGAATGATGATTGAAATGATCATGTTCAAAAATTCATTTATTTATAGAATGAATGTTTTTTTTGTTCTTTTTAATTAATAAATAAATAAATAAATTGAACAACAATCATAAAACAACAAAAGAAAACAACTACAACAACAACAACAACAACAACAAAAAAAAAACACACAGTGATTGATTGACGTATAAAAAAAAATTATTATTATTACCACCAATGTGATTATGATGAAAAACACAGCAACAAATTAGCAAACAAACGAAAAAATGAAATTTCATTGCACGTGTCGTAGTGGTAGTGGATATTTATCTATATATAAAGATAACATATCGATAAACAAATCATTACAACATACACATTGCATCGTTTTGTTTTTGTTCAAATCAAAATACAACAATCAATTTGTTTATTCCGGGCATATTTTTCGTTGTTGTTGTTGTTGTTGTTGTTGTTATTTCCATTTCATTTCGTTCAAAGTAATATAAAACAGAAACGAAGAAAATAAATCATCGCCTGTTGTGTAGCATTAATTTCATCATCATTCTCATGGATGATGATCATTATATTGCCATTATTATAATCAATACAAATCTAAATCATTTCTAATGCGCGCACACATCGTAAAAAAAATGTTAATTTTATTGATAGCATCATGATGATGATCATCATTTTCATCCATGATAATTAAAATGGGTTCATCTTCATTTTTTTTATGATAAAATAAGAGATGGTGATTTATTGTGTGGAAATAAATACATTATATTTGGACACAAATTATGGAATTATGCAGATTGTCCAGATTGTTAGTGTGATTGTGGATGAATGAATACAACGGATTATTGAGGTGTGTGTGTTTTACATATTTTTTTTCTTCTTTATTCGAAATTTCAATTTAAATATTCATGTTCCATATATTTTTTCTTTTCATATTACGAAATTGATTTTTTTCTTCTGCTCTGAAAAACAAACACACACATACACGAAAATTGGTGACACTTTTTTTGATTTGACTAATTTCACACTAATGGTCAATGTCAATATTTCTGAAAGTAAAAAAAACAACAACAAAAATTCATGTTCATGACAGAGATTATCATTGTCATCGTGAGGATTTTTTTTGAGAAACGATAACCTTGTCAGTGATGCAAATCTGTCAGAAAAAAAATGCGAAAAATTCAATCATAAGATAAATGAATGAATGACAACAGAAATCATCATCATCATCATCATCATCATCGAGCAACAAGATCGTGAAAAATTTTCATGGCTAATTTTATGGACGAAAACACATTGTGATTGATATATCAATCATTAATTAACTCGTTCAATCCATCATCTATCCACCATAATCAATAGGCGATTGATTATAATCAATCGCACCAGACGAATGAAAATGTGTTTTGATTTTTATTCATCAACATGATGATCATAATATATAAATGTGGCCATATTTGTCTTGGAAAAAAGTAATGGAATAAAATCCAAAACAACAACAACAACAACGATATAATCAATGAATCAATGAAATTCGATGCAATTAAATTCATAAATGGAATCATCATCATTTGTATTGATTATTATTATCACGATGATGTGATTTTTTTTATTCATGAATTTCTATATAAAGACAGGCGATAAATAAGAAAAAATAGCCGATCCGGAAACGCCTGTGGTCAGACAAAAAAAAATGACAACGAAACAAGCGATAATGATAATCTATGGCCGAATTTGTCATCAATTGGTTGAAATTTTCTAACGAATGATGACGATGATTGATTGAATGTAAATTTAGAAAATGAAAAAAAAACAAATTCAAAAAACTTGAACTCAATTACATGAAAAAAACACAGTGTGTGTGTGTCTTGTTTCAAACAATAGATCTCGATATATTTGATGAATCGAATTTTTCTCATTATTCAAAAGCAACAAAAAAAAATGTAAATTGGATTTAACACAAAAGATGGAAAAAAAACAATAAAATAGAAACAAACAACAATGACAACATGTGTTAAAATTGCTGCAATGCTGCCGCTGCTGTTTGTTTGTTTTAAATTACGATTATGATTAATGGATTGATGATGGTGATTGGAAATGTATCCAATAATAGCGTAGACACACAGCAAACAAACAAAAACGAAAACAAACAAGAAAAAAAAGATGGATCCAAAAATAATCGAATAACAGAGGACAACAATCGAACCGAATCAACCAACCAACATTCACACCTTGTGGAATGAAATTTTTTCTCCAGGATTTATTTGGATGACAAAATTAAATCTGGTTTTCATTTTCAGGTAAACAAAGATCAACAACAACAACAAAAAAAACAATGGATGTAACAAGAAAAATTAATGGAAAAATTAATCATCATCAAATGAAAAAAAAATGATAATAATCAAACCATCAACATTGGATACGATCCCATTTTGTGTGAATGAAATGTGGCAATTGGGCTGTATCAATTGATGGATTGATTATTTTGAGACAAACAAATGATGTTTTTCGTTTTTGAATTAATTTGCATATATATACAATATATATATAAACATTTAAATTTTTGTGATTGAAATTGAAACAAAAAAAAAATCATTGCAACTTGTCGAGGAGAACTAGGAGGAGGAGGAGGGCAGAGAAAAAAAATTGTTCCATTTTTGATTTTATAAATCAAATTCGAAATCGAATGAAAAAAACAATGGACAAATTCATTTGATTAGTTTGTTGATAAAGTTGTCAAATCGTTCTCTCTCTCTCTCTTTTTTTTTTCATTCTTTACATGTTTCATCATTGCCTCGTGTGTTGGATCATCAATCATCCAATTCAATCAATTTTTTTTTTTTTGAAATTTTTATTCAAATAAAGAATTTTTTCTGAGAAAATTTTACATTCATTTTTATATTGGGTCAGAAATGATTTTTAATTTAACGCAATCATTGAAAAATTATGTAAAATTGAATAAGTGACCGATGATGATTATCATTATTCAATTTTAATAAAAATTTTGTTTCATTAAAATTGTCGCAATATGAAAATAAACACGTGGCCATTTTATAACGGTATTTGTGGGTGCGTTCAGTGCTTTCATCGTCTGTGTGTGTGTTTTTTAAATGCTGACGACGTGAAATTTTTGTTCTCTCTCTCTCTCTCTCTCTCTGATGCTCGAATCATCATAAATTTTTCGTTTATCATCAATGTTTTTATCGTATTTGAATGGAATAAAAAAAATCAACCAACAAATCATAAGTGATTTTAAAGCCAAAAGAAAAAAACATCACACAACAGAGTGTTCTATACCAGCAGCAGCAGCAGTGGACAACATCCATTCATTCATTCTTTGTTTTTCTAATTTGCAACTAAAGAAAAATTTCAAACAAGACAAAAAAATAACGAAAATGCGTGTAATAGTGTTGGAAATATCGGCACAATTGGAGAATGTTACAAATCTAACCATACCAACGGATTATACATTTCATATGCATTTTCGTTGCAATAATTGTCATATTGAAACGGATTTAATGAAATTTTCATCAATGAATAAAGTACCATTAATGGGTGGTAAAACATTTGTTAATCTAATATTTCGTTGTAAACAATGTACACGTCCATCAAATGTTTCTATACTGAATAATAATAATGAATCAATACGTCCATATTGTGAAAAAGATTCATCAACATTTCAAACATTATGTGAATTTGATTGTCGTGGCTGTTATCCAACACGATTCATACCATTTGGACCATTTCATTGTTATTCATCATCCACTATTGATCGATGGCAACAACAACAAAAACAACAACAACAACAACAACAACAACAACAACAATTTAATGATGTCGATCTACGTGATTTAGATTGGGCCGAATATGATGAACGTGCTCATAATTCTGTTGGTATCTATTCATTTAAATATCGTTTTAGAACGATTAAAAAAGAATGTCATTTATGAATGATGACAAAAAACCAAACAAAACAAAACAAAACATCAGTTTTTTTCAGGAAAAGAATTCATTCAATTCGCTGTGATATATTTTTGTTCATTCAAATTCATTTGTATGTTATGTAATATGTACAATTAAAAGTCTATTATAATTTGATTTTCGTTTGTTTTTTTCAAATGTCTATTTATAATCAATTAAAAATTTATAATAATTGAAAAACTCGCTTCATAATAATAATAATAATAATAATATCGTTTTACATTTCTATCCTCATCGAACCGTTCATTTGATAATGATGATAATTTTGCGATTATCAAAGATTTTCATGATTTCTTCTTTTTGTTGTTGTTGTAATTGCAAGTGCAAATCTTTTTTTTTTTTTGCCTATTATCTAGATTGGAGATATTTTTACACACACACACACACACACACACACAACACAAGAAGATCATTATATTTTCAACTACTGTGAAAATGAAAATCTCCATATTTTTATAATTGATGTTTGTCATGTTTGTATACAACAACAGTGAATATATTTTTTTCTTGGCCAATACAAACAACAAACACGATTATGAATATCGTACAGATCGAACAAAACGATTATGATTATCATTATTGTTGACATTATTTTATATTTGCTGAGAGAACAAAAAAAAATGGGCGACAATTTTATCCAAAAGAAAAAAAATTGTCTTTTCAATGCAATGCAATGCAATTCGATGCAATGGAGAATGCAAAAGAAAAAAAAAATCAATCAAAAATCTCATGTGGCCACGATTGAATCAATCGAGATTTTTTTTTTGTCAAACGTAAAATGTTAATGATGATGATGATGATGATGAAGGGAAAAAAATAGAGATAAATAGCTAAAAGGCAATCAAAATGGCAGCAGCAGCAGCAGCAGTAATAATAATAATAATGAACAACGACAACAACAACAACAACAACAACAACATCAAAATCGACATCGAAATAAATGATATAAAAAAAAATTAATTAAATTTGAAATAGTAAACACAGAAACAGAAAACCAAAATGAAAAAAAAACAGGAAGAACTAAAGTAAATAAACAAACTTTCGAACTATTACACATGGACAATCGAAAATTTTTTATTCTTCAAGTATCGATAGATATCGATAGACATGGATGGTTTAATTAACAACAACAACAATAACAAACAACAAAAAACTATCGATTGTTGTTGTTGTTGTTGTTGAAAAATGAACGGAAGAACAATAATATTAGCCAATCAACGAAAATTTTCAAACTCAAGACAATAACATCGACGACGACGACGAAAAAAAAAATTTCAACATCATCATCATCATCATGATCATCGGTTTTTTTTCACTGTTCCTGTATGATGATGAACAACAGCAACAAGTGAAAAAAAAAATTTTTTCTGCTTCTTTTGTGGATGAATATTCAAAATCCGGTGACGATTTAATGACATTAAAAGGCATGGTTCCGATTTTGTTTTTATTTTTTTGTTCACGTAATAATCATCTCTTTTTGTATGCGGATGAATAGACAACTTATAAATATTTTATAAGGTGGATAATAATGAAAATGAACAATAATAAAATATTCAACAACAACAACAACAACAACAACAACAAAATTCAAGCATTTTTTGGAACAAAAAAACATATTCGAATTTTGTTGTTGTTGTTGTTGTATTCATTTCTTATGCTACGTGATAAGTAAACGTTGTTATCATCATCATCATCATCATCATCATAAGCATCGCAAAACATGAAAGAAAATAAAAGAAAAACAAAACGAATGTTAAAAAAAAGAAGAAAATTTCATGTCATTGGAAATAATTTCATGGAAACTGTATATATCTATCTATGTGTATATGTGTGTGTGTGTGTGTGTGTAATAAATCCAAACAACAACAACAATCCGTGAAAATTTATTGTGTGGAGAAAAAAAATTTTTTTTTTCGGAAGTAAGCTACCGATTGTTAATAACTAAAAAATTTTACGGGATAAAATATTTGGTGAAAAAAAAAAAAAAAAAAAAATACAGAACAAAAAAGAACCACCTGTTGCTAACATACACAAATGTTCAACAGGTTTATGACGAACAAACCGAATGGACAACAACCTAAATCAAAAAAAAAAAACGAAATGAATTTTGACATTGATATTGTTGGATGATTCAAAAAAAAAAAAAATTGAAACGTGTCAATCAATTAATGGTGTGTGTGTATAAATTTATCATTTGAAGAAGAAAATAATTTCGCAATTTTATCCAATTGAAATGATAATGGAATGAAAAAAAATCACATCATCATCATCATCGTCATTGGATCGATTGGATGATATTTGATTCATGAAGACTGAAACTTGTTTTGTTGGCGAATTTTTTTTGTTCATCGTTGAAAACGGAGATTTGTAAATTTTCATTTTTTTTTTATTATCATTTTTCAATCACCGTTACTAGCGACAATAACAACAATAATTTTTATTTCCTAACATGGATAATGATGATGGATCGTCCAAGAATTTTTTTTTATAATTGAACACCAAATGATGATGATGATGATGATGAGCTTGCTAAAAGTTTTTTTTTATTCGTAAATAATAATCACAAATTGTTTCCATACGTATAACAGAAATCCAATATCATCATCATTTTGGAACAAAACAAGAAAACAAGCCACTACTTACTTGTTGTTGTCAATGTTATTAGTAATATATAATGAACGAATATCATCCATATGATATGATGATGTTGATGATGATGATGATATTGGCTATTACGATATTTCGTATGATGTGGATGCGAATGAGGATGATGATGATGTAACAGGAACGGATTATTATGATCAATATTTTTCATTGTTATATCATCATCATAATCATTAATGATTGATGACGTTGTTGATGATCGATAATTATTATGACAAGACATTTTTTTTTTACTTAATTTTTGATTATGATGATCAAAGACTAGTGTCGATGTTGATGATGACGATAATGATGGATGATGATCGTCGTCATGAATTATTGTTGTTGATTTATTATTATTCGTTGTCATCATCAAATGATGATTAGGTGACCATTTTTTTCTGTTTAAATTTAAAAAAATTGATTTAATCATTCGATGATCACCAATCACATTCAATGATTTATTATGCTATTGGATTGAAACTACAATTACGAAACCGAAGAAGAAGAAAAAAAATCAACAAATTGGCTGAAAACAAATACAATCTACAATCTGATTTGATCTAATAATAGTGTTTCTATTACACAAACAGGTGTGTTTTCACCTGCAGAAAAAAAAGTTGATTGTTTTTTTTCAGTTTTTCACTAATTGATTTTTTTTCCACTCCAATCATAGTGGTATCATACTAAACGTCGATATAATTGTTAATTGGCACAAGAATGTCATAGGTCATTCACATGAATATTATATAAAATCAAAGAATCGATGATGATGAACAAATGATGACCACAAACACAAATGTTTTTCACTCGATGATTATATAATCCGATGATATTTGATGGTCAAATATACAAAAGTTCATTGCCGGTCATACTTGGAAAATTCATTCATTCATTTTTTCATTTTTTCATTTGTTTGTATTTGGTTTTTCATGGTTTGGATGATGACGATGATGAACATTGACATTCATAAAAATAAATTATGAAAAAAAATGACTGTCAGAATGATTAAGATTTACAAATGTGAAATGTATGAAAATCTTAGCATACATAACAGACAAGCAAACAAACAAACAAACAGACAAACAGATGATTCAATTCAATTCAATTTAATTTTGAATTGAATTTAAAAATTTTTTTTCTTCTTCCATTTCTCTCGCTCCATGGATCCACAATTGATATGATATGTCTTGATGTTTTTACAAATTTAATCTCGTGGAGAAAATTAAAAAAAAAAAAAAATTCGAAATGATGCTTCTTGTGATGTTCGATGGTGGTGATGGGCGAATGATGATTGTTGTTGTTTTTTTTATATTTTCACTTTGCTACAATCGCACACATGAGGAATGTGGATTTTTCCATTGACTGATTTACAAAAAAAAATACGGATAATCATTTGTCTAGAGGACAAATTGAAAAAAAAAATCATCATAAGAATGTTGATGATGATTATTGAAAAATTAAGATGCAAATGATGATGGTGGTGGTGGTCAAAACAAATTTATTCCATATGGTAAATGTTTCTTTCTTTAAATTTTCAAATTTGGTGATTAATAATAATGAAATTTATTTATTTATTTATTATTATTTAAGGTCGAACAAACACAATCGTACAAAAAAAAGGATAATAAAATCAAAGAAAGAAAGAAAAATTTAAAATTCAAAAAGAAGATTATGATGAATAAATCAGAGATTTTTGATTCAAATTTAATTCAATTCAATTCAATTTTGGTTTCTTTGATTCAATTGATTAAAAATTCCAAACATCACCATCACCATCACCACCACCACCACCACAACAACAACCATCACCATCATCATCATTGGGCAGCATCAATGAACAAAAGAACGAAATAACACACCAAGTGTTTACAAATAAATCAGATCATCATCATCATTGAACACATAAAATTAGGACAGTAAATGATAGGAAAAAAAACCTAAAATATTACTGATTTAGAATCAATGATGGCGATGATGATGACATTTAAATTCAAGCACCGATTGGGCATAGAAATCAAAAAATTTTTTTTTTTCAATTCAGATCACCAATGTTGATGTTGATGTTTTTTTTTTGGCCGGTCATCCACACATGTACTGATTTTTTTTCTATTCAGACTTTGAATGCACACACACACACAAACATTACCATCATCTGTGCTAGTGCTGTTGGACAGTTTTTTTCCTTTCATCGGACCAGTAACCCGACTTAGATATATGTGAATCATCAAAAAAAAAAAATCATGTCGTTTGGCTATTTGGATTTAATTCAAATTGAATACTGAAAAAGAAGAAGAAAAAGAAGCTGCTGAGCCAGGTAAAATGAAATGGAAAAAAAAAACAAACAGTTGAAATTGATGGATTTTTGCATTCATTCATTCATTCATTCATTCATTTTCACCGGTTAATAGGAAAATTTGTCGAAAACTTGTGTGAGAAATAAAAAAAAAATCATCATTAAAACGGTCGGTCGGTCAATCAATCACCAATTTGGTTTTGTTTTTTTTTTTGATTTTTGTTGTTGTTGTTGTTGTTGTTGTTGATTTGATATGTTTGGGTCACGAACGATGAAAATATTTTCAAATTTTTATCGGCAAGAGAGAGAGAAAAAGAAAAAAACTTTACATCATTGATGATGATATATTAATAATAACGACAATTTTATATGGCCAAATTTGTTCACAAAAAAATCAAGCAAGCAAGCAAAAAAAAACTTGATGACACTGTCTCAATTTGAGGTTTTCACTCTCTCTCTGTGTGTGTGTGTGTGTGTGTGTCTCATACACAAAAGAGAAAGTGTTCACTTTATTTTATTTTTCTGTTTATACAAAAAGTGGGCGCCATTAACAATATATATGAATCATGAATCATGAGCCGGTCTTTTCATTGATTTCACATGTGTCAACCATTTTGTGTGTGTGTGTCATCGTCATCTTTGTTGTTGTTGTTGTTTTTGAAAAAAAAAAAAAAAAACCGACAAAAAAACAAAATCATAAAGCAGAAAATAAAACCGCACACACACAGGCAATAATAATGGTGCTAATGGTGGTGGTGGTAATGGTGGTGGTAGCGAAATTCAAAAAACGGTAAATAACAATTTTTGGAGAACAAAAAAAAAATAAGCAATTACTACAACATGGTGAAAACAAAAACAAAAAAAAAATCTGAAAATTTTCAAATTGTCATCATCGTTGCATTTTTTTTATGGTATGTTCGTAATAACACTTTGTGTGTGTGTAAATGGTTGCCGAAAGCGAATTGTATTTTTTTTTTTTTTTCACTATAAAACAACAACAGAAAACGGCAAAAATTAAATTGACATCCTAAACAACAAACAGATATTTTGGCCAATGAAACTATGGAGAAGATGACGAAAACGAAGACGAAGAAGAAGAAATTGTTGAAGATCACAACACAACAACAAGATTTGTAACTTGATTTCTCTTTATCAAGCTTCTTTTTCTGTTTCTCTCACACACACACAAATCACATTACAATTTTCTATTTTATTTCATTCCAATTTCTCTCTCTCACTCTCTTTTTCATTCAAACAAAAAAAATGATTTCTCATTCTTACAAATGGCAAATTTCTCCATTATCCATTTCAAATTCATTTGGATCCATTCAATCCATCCATTTATGTAGCAAGCATTTAAAAAAAAAAAAAACACTAACCCCATATATCCACATAACCATAGCTATCGAGATTGTTGTTTTTTTCTTGCTAATTACATATATAACTAATAAACACCACATATGTACATTCATTGGAGAAAAAAAACATCTTGATCAACATTAAGATTGAGTATACAGTACGATTAACAGGCGATATTTAGATAGCTAAACAAAAAAAATCTGCTGCTATAACCATAAATGATCATCAATATATATATCGAATGCAAAACAAAAGGACAAAACATTATGGAACAATTACGAAATTCTAAAAAAATTAATTAATTAATTAGTCAAGAATTTCAGGAGCGACTTTACACACACACACACACACACACACTGTTTGCAATAAACAGATCAATGATAATCGATCCAAATATGATGACAAAATGTATATTTATAGACACACACACACACACACACACGCGATATCGAGCACAGATTATACATTCATATGGATAGAACATAAAAAACAATGTTCAAGTCAATGAAAATGAAATGAAAAAAAAATTGATCTGAGAAAAACAAGCCCAAAGGTTAGGCATAACATTGACGATAAAAACGATGAGAAAAAAAAGGATTTTTTCATTCTTCAGATACATGATAATTATTATTATCATCATCATCATCATCATTTTTGGCGGATAATAATCGAATGTTGGAATGGAAAACAAAATTAGCCAAACGAGACAAGACAAACAATTTTTTTTTTTTTTGATTGAATAATAAAGATTTGTGTGTTGTGTTCCAGAAATTTTTTGTTTTTTGTTTTTCTGTTTCTGATTTTGACATTTGGTCCATTTTACAGTATTAGTGTGTGTGTGTGTGTATGTTATGTGATGTGAAAATCACAATGAACACACCTACACATATAAACATATGCACGTAAACACGTGGGACCAATCTGACGATTGATCTCAATCGATTTATTGATTAAAAATAAATGAGTATGTGTGTGTGTGTGTAAAAAAAAAAATCAACGATAAGATCTCTATCTCAAAGATGATGAGAAATAATGAAATTTTTTTTTTTTTTGGATGAAGATGATTTATTATCATTATGAAAATAATTTCGAAATTTTGCAATAAAAAAAAAAAAAAAATGCAAACAAGAATCAAAAATGCTGCTGCTGCTGCTGCTGATGGTGATGGTCGTAAAATTCAATCGAAAATTTTTTTTTTTTCAGAACCATTTAAATTAGTGTAAAGTTATAAAAGGAGGGGCAGAATGAAAGAACAAAAAAATTTCAATTTTTCGTTTTCGTTTTCGTTTTTTTTGTTTTTTTTTTCAGTGGAATTATCAAATTGAAATTCAAAATGAATTGTTTTTCAACAGTTATTGAAAACGCTTTGTTTGATCACAATGGAATTAATACAATTTTTTTTTTGAATGGAAATATGATCATCATCATCATCGTGTTTAATGTGTGTGTGCGTGTGTCTACCTGTGTGTGTGTGTGTGTGTGTGATTATTTATTGACCATCACATTGTTCAATGTTGTCAAATCAT